TGATGCTGGGGGTGGAGACGTTGAGCTCTTTCGAAGCCGTGGAGGTGTTGAGTTCTTTTGGAACCTTGGAGGTGTTGAGTTCTTCTTGAATCGTGGAGGTGTGGAGTTCTTTTGAGGCGGTGGGGGTGCAGAGACCTCGGGAGTCGGTGGAGATGGTCGTGATGTCTGTGCCCTTTGCTTCTTCTTTCTCCCTTTCAACGGCTGCACGCGCTGCGCAGGCTGAGGTCTTAGGGCAGATGCAAAGTTATCCATCAGCACTTTTACTCCGTAGTTGTTCAGATGTGGGCCTTTTTCTTCAAAAAGCTCGTGCCTATTCCTGAACAGATTAAAGTTTTCAATGAAGCCAAGTCCTCTGCGTGAACACTCATTGAGTAGAAATGTATTTAGCTGATACAGACGGCTAAACTTCTCCATTTTTCCATCTATATTTGGCAGTGGGCCACTAAGAAAAATTGTTATGTCCATTTTCTTGAGGTCATCCAGTAACAGCGTTAAATCCATTCGTAACTTCTCGCTTGCCTTCTCATAGATATCTACCGCCCCCGTGTGGATCAATAATGTACGCACACCACTGTTCTCAGATAACACTCTAGGCAGAAGAGTTCTTATCTCAGCAACTTTAGCAGAGTGAACTGAGACAGTGAGCATGGACTCCATGTTTACATTTTTCACCGAGCCATCTCCGATAAGGACACAGTTTGTCCTTGGTGGAGGCGCTGCAGTTTTTAGCAGCTTTGTTGTTTCAGAAAGGGGTAAAAAGCGGTTTGAAGTCTTCAGAACATTTAGTTGTGGCCTTATTTCACTCCTATTGTCATTCTTAGCTTTGTCAACTTTGGGTTTGGCTCCACAATTGTTCCAATAATTCTCATTGTTGATTTTGGGAAAAGAAATGACGTCATAACTTACATTTCCAGTCTGTCCATTCATCCCATTTTCACTCATTGGAAGAGTCGGGTTAAGTCCCATTTCTGTTTCCACAATAGATATCCGTGTTTGAAGAGATTTAAGCTGATTTTCCAAAGCACAACAGCCACCGCAGACGCTTCTCCGTCTCTTCCGTCCCGACATGACTAATGTTGATAAATTCCACAAAGCTGAAGTGTGTAGAAGGAGTAATCCTCGTTTTGTAAATAAAATGATTAAAGGAGAAACAAAAAATGTAAATAAAATGATTCAGGGAGATTAAAAGGCGAAGCAAAAGCAGAGCAGAGAGACACGACCGCTCTCTCGAGAAGCAGGAAGCAGCCGCAATAAAAAAAAAGGAAAAATCCAAGGCAAACAAATTCAATATTCTCTTCTGTGCTTAGCTTGAGCGGTCTGATGGGGTCTGGCTTTCACATGAACCATGGAGAGACTTTCAATGGCAAAACACAACAAAAAGTATAGAAAAATGCTTTAATTAGTCATTTTTGATAGTTATTATTAAAATACAGCTTTTATAAAATGAATGTGGTTATAGAAGGTTAAGCACACTATTGATATATATTTATTTGTGATGTATCTGCCCTATCCATGCAATGTTCAGAACAACCTGCTGCTACTTCTGTGAAGCACTTTCGTAAAGTTGTTTTTTAAAACAGACACAATCATATTAGTCTCAGAAACTGCAGCCACGTCTTTGAAATGACATCAACAACAAGCTTCAGTTCGCACACGTCACAGAACTGAATATATCTGTGTAAATGCTGCTGCTTTTGAGAGAGTTTTAAATATCTGATTTTACCAAAGCACAAACTAGAGTTTTTCACACACTTTTATAAACACATTTTAAACATAAAAAATGTGTATGAATTCAGATGTGTATATTATTTCTTCTTTTTTTTACTTTAAAGCTGAAGTTCCTAAGTTTTAAACAATTTCACTGTGTAATAAAATCACTAGGAGTGTGACGATATATCGATATTGTGATGTTTCGTGATACTTTCTCACACTATCCATTATCAATATGCTTTTGCCAAGTATCAATAAAAAAATAAAAAAATAAATAGAATATTTGTTTTTTTAAATTATTATCACACATCTCCATTCCATTTATCATGAAATAAAGTCTATTCTTTCACTTAACGTTTTTCTTTTATTTATGCCAATATGTGCTGCATTTGAATTCAGAGTGCTTTACTAAAATATTTCTATAACAGTATAATAATCGTCTTATCGTGAGCTTTGTACCGCATATCGTATCGTATCGTGAGGTACTCTGAGGTTCCCACCCCTAATCCTCACTGTATAGCTGTATAGCTGTATAGCTGGTTATAGCACGTTTTCAAATGCATGTATTTTCTGACTTAAAAGTGAAAAAGACTCACAGTGCTCTCTATAATGAACAAAAATAACATTGTGACTGTTTCTTCAAGAATTGGACAAACTAAATAAGGATGCAGCCCACCTTTAATGTGTGTGTGATGTATGTAAAAACAAAATTCAAGGATATTTCAACTGCCTTAAAACAAGATTTTCCAATGGGACAAGCAAAATTATCTTAATAAATATACACAGAATATCTCCCTTGAAATGAGAAAAAAACAGTTCTAGAAAAAAGACTAAATAGCTTTGCCCCAGTGGAAAAATCTTGTTTTATGTCAGAATACACTCAAATTAAGATAAAAAAAAACACTCCATTCAAGCAATTATTACCTCATTCTTCATCATTTTTTTCAGTGAATATCCTTCTGGATCAATAACGCACATATTTCTGTCCCTTGTGGGTTGATTGCAGCAGTAGCGACGGGATGAGCTGCTGACAGGACTAAGTGCTGGCGGTGAGGGGGACGTGTAGCCGGCGGCCCTCGGGCAGCAGAGGAAACAGTGTGTGTCAGTGCAGAGACAAGAGCGGAGAGGACTTTCCCTTCACAGAGCAGGAAAACTTTGCCCTGGCTTCAGAAGTACCGGCAGCTTG